AGGGACTACTATTTTCACTTGCTAAGCTTTTTCGTTGATGTAAAAATGAATGCCTTATTTTAGCACGTTATGGACTACTCGTTACTGGTTGGAGTCGACGAAACAAATGGCGAATTAATTCTAGGAATAGTCGACTATATGAGGACATACACGCTAGACAAGGTATTGTTGTAATAGGTCATCTGTAGGTTATAGAAATGGTTTACGAAGGGTATATCTATTGGGCTTAGTGTCGTTTAACGAGGATTCCCAGCATTTCATGGGTTTCTACGCCATGAAGTGAACTTCAGTGGCACTTTTAGATGGTTACGTTTCCATAGTACTCAGCTCTTCGTCTGTAGAGCGCGCATTTGCAAATAACTCTTTTATCTTATCGCAGCTAGATGCAGCCTCAGGGGATGTCCTTGCCCACGACTTGCCACGCCCAGGTCGATTGAGTGAGAAAGGTCTTCTAGGGTTTTCAGAATTAAATCAAGTTTTGATTTTTCAATGAGGGTGTCCGTTTGAGTATGGACTTACCAAATTAGCCTGGCGTTATTCTCAAAGTGAATAGTGGAAGGCATTGTAATGTAGAGGAAGAAGAATTGGTCCCTCCACTTGGAAAGAGAGGACAAAGAAAAGAGGAACAATAAGTCTTTCTGTAACCCTTATTTACTCATGAAATTGTTGTAACACCACTTGGGCGGAGTCATCTGATGTTGACGGGTGCAAGTGACAGTATAAAATTTATTCATGTTATTACTTTCAGAAACTTGAATCGTGGGTTAAAATTGTTGCCATACCTGGCGCCCATCTTCCAACCATCCTCAGCCCTGAGATGTATTGTACAAGGTACTTTTGCTCGTTTTTTTCTTAATTATGTGCGCACTCAAGTCTTTTCACGTTTCACTCTTTGCAGGTTTTCTGAGGCTATTGATACTTATTTCCCTGTGGTGCCTGATCAATGGACGGGTCTCGGATCAGCGGTGTCTTATTAGGTATAACCTATGCTAGTTTCTTGAAATTATAGAAATTAGCAATTATTTCTACCTTGTTGCAATAATTCCAAACCTCTTTGTGAGGTTTCAAATTTAACTTATTGCTATGCTAATCTGTTATTCTTATTGATGTCTCATGTTTTATATGTTCGGATGGCTGAGCGGTGAGGATCAGATTTTGGCAACCATGAGATTTTCCTATCAAATCTAACGCTAACAAAGGTTCTTACAAGGGGGTCTTTCAGGGCAAGCCACGCTTTTTCAAAACGGCTCTTTGCATACTGTAGGGACGCATTTAGGGAACATGAAAACCATGTTTCGTTTTCGCTGAACGGTTTTAGTAGTATCAAAGATACCCTTGGTTCGATCCCCCGTGGCGACTAAATTTTGCATTTGGGTTGGCGCCTACGGTTGGTGCCAAATCGCGCTAAATATCAAAATCAGATGTCAATTCATCGTCAGGACCATTTTGAAGCCAACAAGTGGCCGCCAACCTTGATTGCAAAATTTAGTCGCCGCGGGGATCGAACCATCAAGGGTATCATTCACCACTTTTTTGGTACTACTAAAACCGTTCAGCGAAAACGAAACATGGTTTTGTGGTCCATACATGCGTCCCTACAATATGCAAGAAACCGTTTCCAAAAAGCGCACTTGCCCTGAAAGACCACCCTTGTTAGTGGAACCAAGCTATTTCGATGGGCTTATGCATGGCTAAGATGAAGAAACGTTCCTCTTTTTGAAGCACGTTGAGGTTGAGGCTTTCTCAATGGAATAGTGAATTCGTCAGCGCTACTTGTTCATTCTTAGTCGCATTACGAATTAGATTTTTGGTTAACTGTCATTCATACGCCCCCTGCATCCGAACATTTAATGCTAAGCTGTTATATTCGGATTGTTCATTCTGTGATATGTTCTTAGTGTTAGATTGCGGATTTACTTAATGCCTTAAATTATGAGTAATCATTGGCCACATTTTCATTCACAACTTTGTGATATAAACAGACAAGTTCACTTCACATAAAAATATAGTAATTAAGTCTTTTCCTATGGTAACGTTACTTAGAAAATTGACAACACACGTATAAAGTAAGAAGCTTGCATTTTGAGTCAATGGATTTACAGTAAACAGAATTCTAGCGAAGATTACATCTAAAATTTATCAAACAAATTACTACCAAAGAACCTTAACATCACAAAAAAACCCATCAAGCACTAATATTTGATACAAACACCTTTGTTAGAGTATGAAATGTAGATAGTTTCCCGTGAAGATACAAGTTATGTTGACGCAAATATCTGTAATGCGTTTGCTATGTACAATAGATCTCCTTTCGCTACTTTCACACAAAAAACATTTTATGGTACAGGAAGGCATGCTACTTGTCTTCGTACTAGAAGAAAATCAGATCATTTCATATGAACCATTTCAGTCGCGAATTTCCGCAGCTTTTTCGCTGCACTTTTCCGCAAATACTTCACCTACCGTTAATCTCAAGAAAAAATTACCTATGTTTCGATATCTTCAACTAGAAGTAACTTGCGCGAGTCATCTTTGGGGCTTCCTGGATGAGACCTTGAAGAAAAGCATTTCGAGAGCTTTTCTTTCGCATATACAAATCAATTAGGTTGTGTACCGTTGCCGCTTTCGTGTCATGCCATGCAAGGCCATACCAAAAAGACAGAGTGTTAGCCCAGCGAGATTCACCCATGAGAGACGGTCGTTGTTCAGAATGTGAGCCAGTAGAAGAGTAGCTACTTCCTGAATTCGGTAGCACATTACATTTCGAGTGACATGCTTGAACTTTTATTCACAGTATTCGATAGGATTTCGGAATGGCACATTCTGAGCCCTCAGAGGTTTGTGCTCAACTTCATTTAGGAATTTTTTACAAACGAATTTTGTGGTGTAGACATTGCATAACAGCGTAATCTTTGGTATTACCAAGGAAGTTTCTTCTTTCATGGAACGTTTTATGGAGAACTAGATGAGTTGATAGGGTGAGTTGTTAAATATATAATAAACTCGCTACCTAAACGGCTTCCAATCGATGTTAGCAACGTCGAAGACGGCTTGACGCGCCCCTGCGCGTAGAACTCCAACCCAGAATGCCTGGCTAGTTTCTTTCGATTTATTACATCCTCCTGCTCGCAAACGTGCGCATCCAGTTACTTCCGTTATCCGAGAGCCCAGTGCAATCAATTACCAGTATGAAATATTGAAGACAATTACGACGATTGTGAAAACAAATAATAGAAAGGCCGAAATTATCACACCAAAAGGCTGTCATCATGTTTTAACAAGCGGTCCACATTTGAAAAGGATACAGCAAAAAATAAGTGTGGCGGCAACTAGCACCAGATGTCTGTGCACAACGAATATATAAAGTCGTGATCAAAACCACAATATTCACCCATCCTCCGTTCAATGGTTTCAGATAAATTATTTAGAAATTTGCTATCGGGGTCAGATCACCCTACGCCTCTATCCAGACGATTCATCTCTCTAACGAATCTGACGCACCAAAAGTTGCTTGAAAACGCATTAGCAATTGGTCTCATCATAAATAATGTAACCATCTATTTGACTGACTTGATTAAGCAAGGTGCCAGAGGCCATGCCATGTATGTTATATATAAGAGGCAAGCATCAACCTGGACCGCCCCTTACTTCCACATCGCCACTCGCGGGGTCATAATGCCGAGATGATATATCTGCCTCGGGCCTATTTCCTTCCATCCCTGCCGACCTATTTTCTTATTACACCAGAACCCGGCGAATATAGAGTAGACAGCAATAGAATGCAAAGTAAAGTACAATCAGATTTAGAAGCGTGTGGGCTTCGAACGTTTGACCAGTAGAATAATGTTACCCACCGCTTTCCAGTTCTTAACCTTACGCGACAATTAACTAGCAACATCCAGGAAAAAGCTATGCTAAGTGTAATGATCGAAATATCCTGTTGTTTGATCATGAATTCATGGAACAGAATAGCGCTACCCTTCTCAACTACCGTCACCTACGTGCCAAGATATGACCTATCTAAATACACAACCCAACTGCTATCAACAGTCCAGCTCATTAATGAACTTGGTATTCTGAGAAAATGCCAACCTTTAATATTCCGAATATGTTCAGTGTAATTCCGGACGTATTAACAAGAAGTAGATACTCTGAAAGCCATAATAAGATCAAGAGTATTTTATATCTGCTTCACACAAATCCCAGTACCTGACATTTCCATACAAAACGCAAGTAGACCGCCACAAATCTACCCACATAAAGCAATTGAACAGGTGCGTATGCCCATTGAAATACTATACCCGATCGTAGACTACTCGCCGCACCTTCCCATTAGAATGGATTCGGAATCACCAGAAACGTGCCACCATTTAAACTGCTTGCTAACTAAAGGCGCTCGAAAGTGACTATAAGGGCAGCAATGGGATAAGCGTCCATAGGTGTCACACTGTTGCTAACCATATCTACGGAGGATATCAAAGCCTGCTCCCTCCCTCTGCATGATCGATCTCGCCGATACAGTCCATCTGAAAGTGTTTATGAAAATAATCGTAAATATTCCAATCTATTCACTACTTTCCTACTTGCTATAATGCTGCTTCTGCTAATCTTGGAGCTTTCACAGAGAATTGAATATGGGAGCTAACTACTTGTAAGAAGGAGTAGGCGCAATAAAACAATGAGCCGCTCCCCTCGCACCTATTCTAACCAATTCACCCAAACAAACAAGCGTCGTATTGCCATTTATCCAACGCGATTTTAGCACCTTTTGTTTCAACGTTTAGTGCGATCTAATAAAATTCTACATCTGATTAGTTTCAATATACACAGCAACGAGGAATTGTGACATGCAAAGAGTCAATATGAATAAGTATAAATAAAATACACATATAATCAATACTAATGTGTGAATCACCAAACGTTTCGATAGTACAGGGTTCGCTTTACTAGAGCAACACCTGTTTCTCATTGTTCAGTCAATTCTGTTCTTGCAATTTTAATTTCCTCGCTCATCACAGTGGCATAACTTATAATCCGTACTCTAAGCATTTTCCCTTTGAATCAGTAGAGGTTTAATTACACACATCGCACTAGTAAGCCAAATTAGTCGATCAGAAAATTCTCAGCGAGAAGAAAATGAGTAGGCAGTGAAGTTGATTAAAAAACGATTTTCCTGTATAACCACCCTTCGGAACTTCTCCGTTGCAATAAATCTTATAATAAAAAGTATCTAATTATGGGATAAAAAGTTAAGCATTACCGAACTCCCGTACATGACGCGGCAAGTTCTACGAGTAGTAGTCCGGTGAGGTCCAACTGAGACGAATGCCAAGTAAATAGAAAAAGACCGCTAGCAATCAGCGCTGCCTCCAAACCGAGTGTTGCACGCCACCTGAATTGAACGTCATTAGTCAGTTGTATTTTTGGCCTACAATATGCTCTTTTTCATGCCATATGTAACATTTCACGCACAAAAAAAAACATCCTAAACATCATCGCGAAGGGTGAATCATGGTCAACGCCCACCGTCAACGTGGTCTTCAGTCATTTTGTTTTCAAATAACCGCACAATAACCGGAAATGCTTATGTTGTTTAGTGAAGCATGCCATTTGGTTCATTTATATTAGAAACAGCTGCGATTGCCTCTGGGATTTGTCTTTTATGCTATGCCTTTTATGGTCATTTGGTTTTTACTGCCTCAAACTATCAAATATGTTTCTCTATTTCTCAAAACTCGTGGTGATGAACCCAGCATATGAAAAAATAGTCGTGGTGACCCTCCTATTGAAACATGGTGCCTATCTATCTACAAATTCCGTACGTCAATCAATACCTCGCAAGAAAAAAGTTCTCGTGGGAGCGCTTTGAAGCGTGATATTCGATCACGTGGCACAGCGGCCAGGGTTACTGACCACTAAATAACGACGAATTAACGAAAATACAATTGACAAAATAACCTTTCCAGTCGCAATAACAGCGCAAATGCCACAATGAATAGAATAGAACTACTTTTTGCCATTGTATACAAACTGACGGTGACATATTCAAGAGCCCAGTTTGACAACCCAATATCGAGCGAAGCACATATACCAATAGGCGCAAGCCATCTGAAAAAGGTGAAAAGTCTGTGAAATGAGAAAGAGAAAGGGAAACGAGAAAAAGCTAATTCTTCTGAAACCTTAGTTGGTCTTTCAATTGGAGTCGTATACGCTTTTTACGAAGAACCTCATATAAGAATCGTATAGATATGGCGGCAACATACTTCACAATGTAATGCCAACAAACCACGAATAAAGGTAACTTGTAATTCTGCAAAAACAAACATTACATTGATGGTTGTTGCAATATCTAGAACGAAAAGTTAACCTTTATGAACCATTTCTGATAAAATGTGAGGCCAATTGAAAGCGGGTAATAAAGCAGCGCTATGAGCACGATCTTCAAAACCATTCTATATTACTACTACAGTTAGTCACAATAACTCCATTGTTCACGGACGGCTGAAAAACGATTTAAATTCATCGATCAATGGAGGAGCATCAACACGAACTACGAGAGGTTCTACGAGAAAAACAACGACTTTTCATCTCCTTCGCGAAAGGAACGATAAGAAATCTATGTGTAAGTGGTGGCAACTATTTGCCTCTGATAAGATCACGAACAGTAAAACTGCAAGGCCGTCAATCACACAGACATTGGACGACTCTTGTCGTCGATAACGCCGTTTCGTGGTGTCGCCGCAATTGCGGACCCGCGAAGACGCCTAAAATTTAATCGCGGAATCTGGGGAATTCGGTATTTGATTTAGGAGGATCATCACATTTCAGGTTACAGTGACAGCCCTTTCATTTACAGCTTGATGCAATG